TGGATGTTGTTCCTGTTGTTTGAGCTCGTATTCCTTGCTGTTAAGTGCAAATATTATACAAATGTGCAATATAGTTATTTTTTTTACACAGCTTAGATTATATATTTATATTTTATATTTATGAATGAAAAGAATAAATAAAGCCTAAGATTCGAAGAAGATATTTATATGTTGAAAAAGAATTCAGTCACAAATGAAAAAAAATAATTCTAGATCTTAAATGCTTAGACCCTCTAACAAATTAAAGGCCAGCGGTGAAAGGCACACCGGTACCGGGCAACCATGAACCTCCTACAATAAATTTGGCCACAGTGAACTTGGAAGCCTCGGTTGCACTAGTAATGACATGGTAACCTGTCCAGTTAACTCTATTGGCAGTAGATGAACCGGGTCCTGTGTTCATGTACTCTCCATAGTATAATGTACTCGGAGGAAAGTTACCGTTCCATGAGATCCACCCAGCAGGGTCAATTAAGTTGTCGAGGTAAGTTTTCATAAAAACAGTCCTGGAATATTTCTTCCATGGCCTACCGAGGTAAGTCCTAACCGAGCTCTGTACAGGCTTCAAATCAGAAGCAGCTATTACCCTGCAATTGTGGAAGGAAATTCCAGTCTTTTGACGATGCTTATCCCTGCCATGGGCGGTAAGGGTATTGGTCTTGTTTGGAGGCCTGCGCACATAGATGTTGCAATTTTGGAAGACTGCTGCAGCATTGCCAAATATGATGTCAACTGTCCCGTAAATGTCACATTCTCTGTAGAATTGCTTATAGGCATGGACATAAAGAGTGTCTTGGTACCCTTCAAAGCTGCATTGGTAGAACACCGAGTGTTGGGAGGAGGAACGGAGTGCCACAGCCTGTTGGTTTTGTGGACCAGCGGTGTTCCTAAATGTGATGCCCCGAGCAATGAAACCACGTCCTTTCACAGCTGAAATTCCAAATCATGCAAAATCTTTAATTAGTAAATGCAATCATAACTAAGTTAGAGTATAACAGATTATCAAACAAACCCTTTAACTTTTAGTATATTAGACGGACTAAATTTATGTTTTATTTAAATATAAATTTATATAGAATTTTATAAGTAAAAAATGCATGATGAATGAACAAAAAATGTATTAGCAAAATAAAATGAATTGAGAGACACAATACTAAAAATAATTCGTACTAAGAACTTATTATAAATGTAATTCATTTGCAATTGATTTAGAAATTATATAATTTTTTTAATCTTTATAAAATATTAGGTTTATTAACATTATTTTATTGTTCAATATAAATTATTGATTATAGCAAAATATTGATTATTTTGTTTGACAGGAAAACATATACTATAAGAATGAAATAAGTTGAGAGACATTTAATAGTTGCTTAGTTGCAATTGAATTTATTATTTATGTAATCTAAAAAATTGTTAGATTCAGTCGTGGAAAAATAAAATACTAGATGGATAAAACAATTAATAGGAGAAACATATTAGTGTTGTGCCTTTAAATTAGTTTAGTTTTCAGTTATAAATTTAATTTTTTATTCATTAAATATAATAAATATAAATCTAAAATTAAAAGATATTTATCCTGGAAGGAAAACATATATAAAAGAATAAAATGATTAATATGTGAACATAGAATAGTGTTATGTGCTTACTTTAGTTATAATCAAGTTAAAATTGATTTCCTCTATTAAAATTTTTAATTTTCAAAATATATTAGACACATTCAAACTATTTCTCTCAAATAAAAATTTATTAGTTATAAATATCATGCATACATATATATATTATTTTTTTCATACTAATTATGATTGGAGAAGTAAAACGTATTTTATTATTTTACTCTTGTAACCTTTTTTTTTAATAATTTAAAATTGTGACATTTAATTCATGCGATAAAAAGTAAAATACTAGAAGAATAATTGCATTTTATTATGTTACCTTTTAACTATGAACTCATTAGTTGAATATAATAATTAAATTAGAAAATTATTGAAATCGAAGTATTTGGAACAAATCGTAACATTCGATGCATTTGAAGAAAAAATATATAAAAAATAAAGTAAATTAAGGTATATAAAATTAATATAATATTATGTACTTATATTGATTAAAACAAGTTGGTTATTTTATAAAATTTTAAATTTTTAGATATATTTTAAATATTAATTTTTTTCTTCAAATATAAATTTAGTTGTTATAACTATCATCCATAAATATTATTTATTCATACTAATTGTTATTAGAGAAATATAGGTTACATTTGTTACGTTAAACTCTCACATTTGAGGGTACAAGTTTTTTTATTCCATGAGTAAAATAAATTTTAAAATATAAAAATGATAATTTTATGTGTTTGTCTGGATTATATCCTAGTTAATATTGAGTTGATTATTGTATAAATCTTATATTCTTATAAATATACACAAATTATAATTATTTTTGTATTGGCTATATAATTAAGTCGAAATGTTCAGCACAATGGGATGAAAATTATTAAAATAATAAGTTATGTTGTGAAATGTTAAAAAAATAATATTATCGACTTATCCAAATTATAATTTAGTTGAATTTGAGTTGGTTATTTTATAACTAATTTTTTAAAAAAATATTTACGGAATAATATTATTTCACTTTAGTTTGATCAATGAAAACTCCTTCATTCTAAAAAAAGGAAGATATCTTAATGATATTTTAAATACTAATTTATAAAGATTGACTACCTAAAAAATCTAAAAATTTCTCTATTTGAAATTCTTATAAAACTATATATAGAAGCAACAATGTAAAAAAGTGATAAAATATACACACAATCCAAATTAAAATGTAAATTAGTATATACATTGTTAATAGAAACAGAACTCATATATTTTTATTAGTTTTAGTTTTAGAGCTTAGCTCACCAAAAGTTGCTGACTCGAAAGTTGAACTCCCCCCAACGACACTCCTGCTTCCTGTTATGATAGTTCTACCTATACCGTCACCTAGCATCATTATATCGTTCAAGTCGTCTCCTACCCGAACATTTTCCTCGTAAGTTCCAGCTTTCACGCGTATGACAAACCTCCCAGACCTCCTTCTGTTGGGTGCCGCTGCTAGGGCTTGACCGATGGTAGTAAACTCTCCAGACCCGTCTTTGGATACGACTATGTCTGCCTGAGGGGCAGACTGCAAATGCTTCTTTGAAACAGGGCTCATCCATGTGGAGAACCCATTGTAGTTGGTTTCACTATTACCAATGATAGGTGTGCAAAACAAAAGAACTACAACCAAAATAAGCTCCATTGAATAATCACAAGTAAATATGATCAGCACTTAACAAAAGTGAAGACCTTCAAGAAAAAAAAAAAAAAAGATTCTGCGTCCGAGGAGTCAACTACAACTAAGAATTGAGGAATAGGGTAACCTCCCTTTTCCTACTGTTCTTTTTCAGTTCCAGTTAATACAGTGAAGAAGTTGGTACCATAGGCTAGTAAAAGAAACTGCAATCTATTGTTGAGTAATATTTACTAATGCCTAGCCCGGTAGCCCCATATATACTCTACAAAATAAAGTTTGAAATCTTGAATTAAGAATAAACCATATTAAACCGCAAATTCTAGTTGGTTAGGATACACCACCCTCACAAACCTGCAAATTAGGAGGGATACTATCAGGATTTTCCATGGATTGAAAAATCCATAATTTGACCTGGCCCAGATAAGTATAACCGCAATTTATTAGGCTTTCTTTTAGGACCAGTTTAGAATTATTCCTGGAAAAAACAGGTAAACCGCAGGTTAAAGGCCCCTTTACATATTCATAGCACTCCATCCCATCTCCCTCAACAAAGTTCAGTATATCTGTTTAGTTCTTATCCCACAACCATCAACCCAGAACCAGAATGGCTCAATATCTAACCATTTCCTTTCTCTTTCTACTCATCTCCATCTTCTGTATTTCAGGCACAGTAGTGGAATCATCAAATCCAAGCTACCCTCGTCGCCAATCCGGGGCTGCTGCGGCTTATATCCGAGCCGCCTGCGATAACACCTCCTATCCAGCTCTGTGCATGCACTACTTGTCTATGTATGCCAACTCAAGCACCATACCATCCCCGCTGCAGCTGTCGCAGGTTGTCTTATCGGTTAGCCTAAACAGGGCTCAGTCCACGAGCTCTTACATCTCGAATGAGCTTCAGGCTACAACGGGTATGGAGCGCCAGATTCTGGAAGACTGCTTAGAGCTAATAAGTATGTGTACGGATGCACTCAGCGACTCTATCAGAGAGGTCCATGCTCTGGTTTCCCCGAGAACACCCATTGATGATGTGCTGGAACATATCAGTAATGTAGAGGACTCGGTTAGCGCTGCCATGACTTTTGTTAGCGATTGCACTGATGGCGAGTCTCCGGGTGAGAAAAAGAGAAAGTTTAAGGGTACTATGAAGAGAAAGCTCTTGAATGTGGAGCAGAGCGTTACCATCGTATTAGACTTGTTTGACCAATATGCTGAAAGATATTATAAGCCATAAGGGTAGCGCTTTGAGTATGTTTATATCTCTTGGATCAAAGCTAATAAATATATTAGTAGTGGTTTTGGTTGTCAACTCCACAATAATAAATTATTTTCCGAATCTTGTTTCTCTTGGTTGTTGTTTTTTTTAAAAAATTACTTACATGGGTTACATTACCTCGAATCTGCCTTGCCCACATAGACGTACATACAAACACATTTTAAACGGGCCGAATTCCTATAACTTATTTTGAAATCCCATTTGAGTCCTATAACTTCCAAACAATCGATTTGGGACCTATAACCTTCAAAAATAATATCAATCGAGTCCCTCTTTATGTTTTCGTCAAATTTTTGCTGACCTGGCCGTTAAGTCAACACGTGGAAAATGATATAAATTAAAAAATAGCCAGAAAAAATTATAATGACAATTAATTATTAATTAATAATAATTAGTATTTAATCTGGATTAATTTAATAATATAAAACCCAACTCACACTAATTTCACCCCACACTCATTCAGTTGGTTAGGATACTCGGCTCTCACCTGAGAGACCCGGGTTCAAGTCCCGGAATTTTTTTTCAGTTTCTACCGCCATTTTAATCTTCAATTTTCTGCCGGTAAATCATTTCAAAAACCCTAGTAAAATACAGTCTCGACATTTTTTTTTTTTCTGGCCATCGATCAGTTCAAAAGAAATTTTCTAACAAGCACTCCTAAACGCAGTTTTGTTGTACATCCACTTTCAGTTAATTCAAAATTTCCCACTAACTCAATACTCAAGAATCCAGGCGGGAATTCCACACCGCATTTCTCTCTTACGTACAAAAATTAAAAAAATGGCAGCAAGCGAAGAGCAACCGCCACCACCGCCGGTAACCGAAGAAGAAGACGACGAGCACGACACCAAGGAGAGAGTGCTGCAGAAGTACTTCCTCCAGGAATGGAAACTCGTCAAGTCCCTACTGGACGACATCGTTTCCAGTGGCCGCGTCACCGATCCCTCCTCCGTCCACAAGATCCGATCCATCGTAAAACACACAAACTCTCTTCTCCTTTTCTTTTTTTGAAAAAAAATAGTAAGCTTAAATTTCTTACTAGATCTGCAAAATATCTTGTAAACAGTTGGATAAATATCAGCAACAAGGAGAGCTACTGGAACCTTACTTGGAGAGCATAGTGTCTCCCTTAATGTTCATAATCCGTACTAAAACGACCGAGCTAGGCGTCGTTTCGGACGAGATTCTTGAAGTAATCAAGCCGCTGTGCATCGTCGTCTACACTCTGGTGACGGTCTGCGGATACAAGTCGGTGATCAGGTTCTTCCCGCACCAGGTCTCGGACTTGGAGCTCGCGGTTTCGCTGCTGGAGAAATGCCACGGCACGGCCTCCGGCACGTCGTTGCGGCAGGAGAGCACCGGGGAGATGGAGGCCAAATGCGTGGTGCTGTTGTGGCTCTCGATCCTGGTGCTGGTCCCGTTTGACATATCGTCTGTGGACAGTACTATTGTGGATGGGGATGGTGGTGGTGGTAATAAGAATCAGCTGGCTCCTCTGGTTATGAGGATATTGGAGTTCTCGAAGGATTATCTTTCGAGTGCGGGGCCTATGCGTACTATTGCTGGATTGGTGCTCTCTCGGCTTCTGGCCCGGCCGGATATGCCGTTGGCATTTTCCAGGTAGTGTTATTTTTGCTGTGTAGAATTAAGTTGAATTGTTGCCAATGTAGTTTTGGATGAAAGTGGAGAGTTAGTTAAATGCTTTACTGCTTGTTTTTGTTAATATCTTTTCCAGCTTTGTTGAATGGACGCATGAAGTCTTATCTTCCGGCAAGGACGATACTCTGTCTCATTTCCGGTTGCTAGGTGCTGTGGAAGCATTGGCTGCCATTTTCAAGGTTGGTTAGTGTCGATATGTTGTAATGGAACTCCCTCATTAAAACTGTTCTGATTTTGTAATTTTTTTTCCTTGTTTTTGCTGGTTCCTTATCCTTATTGCAAATTCATGTCCAATTCTATTTTTTGTTTGTTTGATTTATGGATGACATTTTTACTGCTTGGGATGAGTAGAGTGGTCGTCGGGAAGCATTGATGGATGTTGTTCCTGTTGTTTGGGGGGATGTCTTGTTGTTGTCGAAGTCTGGCAGTGCAGCTCGTAGTCCTTTGCTGCGTAAGCATCTGGTGAAATTAGCTCAGAGGATAGGGTTTACTTGCCTTCCTCATCGTTTACCAACCTGGTGTTATGTGGTTAGTATTCATCATTTTGGCAATTCTTATGTTTTAGAAGTTGAGAATTTAGAAGATTCTGCAAACTGCATTCTGATGGCTTCTCTTGCTCTGTCTATAGGGCAGAACCAGTTCATTTGGAGGGAACGTTTCTCAATGCGAGCCCAAAGGAGTGGCTGATGGCAGTCACAAAACCGTATGGGGTCGGTTTGTGGAGAAGAAAGTGCAAACTCATTGGAAGATGAAGATATGGATGTTCCAGACAATATAGAAGAGATAATTGAGCTGCTACTCTCTGGACTGCAAGACATGGTATGTCAATAGGGTGAGGTCCTCCTTTATGAGCTCAAATGCTTTCTCTTGTTGACAAATTAGCTTCTACGGTGGGAAAATTTTATATAGTTGTCCTTGTCATTGCAGTTCTTTTTCTGTAAGTCACTCCAAAATAGAGGTGCTAGACGTGCTTCAAATTTCATTTTAATTTTTTTATGCTTGCTTTGGTTTTGACATTGTTTGAACATAGGATAAGTTGTGCGTTGGTCTGCTGCAAAAGGTATAGGTCGCATAACCTCACGATTAACATCTGCTCTGGCAGATGAGGCGCTGTCATCTGTATTGGAGCTGTTTTCACCTGGAGAGGTATGCTGTGCTGGTTCTCTCTTTTTCTTTTCTTTCTTTTAANGAAAAATTCTAACCAAGTGAATGGTTAAGTTGTTTCTCGCATTGTCATTTCCATAGACTTTTGTGCCATTTGTTTTCTTAGTGTCGCTCATACATATAATCGAAATCAATCGGCTTATGAGTTTCCTTATCAGCACATTTGTGCACTATAGAACTCTATGTATATGATTAACCTATAGCTGCCATGCAACTTTAATCCTAATCAAGAATTTGATTTTTCTCAACAGGCGCTCCACTATGATATTCGAAGAGGTCCACATAGTGTTGGTTCTCATGTGCGTGATGCTGCCGCCTATGTTTGCTGGGCATTCGGTCGCGCATATTACCACACTGATATGAGAAATGTATTGGAACAGCTTGGTCAACACCTATTAACAGTTGCCTGCTATGATCGTGAGGTCATAACACTTTTCTGTGGAGACATGTTTTGTCTATATCCTTTTCCCTCATGAGATATCCAGTTAATAAAACTAAAGCTTGGAATGCATCATTGCTAGGTTAATTGCAGAAGAGCAGCTGCAGCTGCTTTCCAGGAGAACGTTGGAAGACAGGGGCATTACCCCCATGGCATTGATATAGTGAATGCTGCAGATTATTTTTCACTTTCATCTCGAGTAAATTCATACCTTCATGTGGCAGTCTTTATCGCTCAGTATGAAGGTTACCTTCATCCATTTGCTGAAGAACTGGTTAATAACAAGATTAGTCATTGGGTATGCTTGAAGATAATTTAAATTTTGCTGTGTTTTATGGTCATGCTTTTGTAAATGATGGTCACTATACATTACCATTTCAGTTTGCATCACAGTATGAAGCTTAGACACTATTTTGTTCTTTATAGGCATCAATTGTAGATTACTCTGCTGATATATGACCTTAGTAAAAGTTTATGATGAGCGTGATTTTATTCCCAGATCTGCAAAGATGATTGCTGGTTCTAAATAATCCGTTATAAAATCTTGGAGCAATTTAGCATGAAGTAAGAGTTTTTTTGGCTTAGTTCTTTATGAAAATAATTCTCATATGTTTTCTTCTGTAGGATAAAAGCTTGAGAGAACTTGCTGCTGAAGCACTTTCTGCTCTTGTCAAATATGATCCTCAGTATTTCATGAACCATGTGATAGAGACACTAATTCCTTCTACACTATCATCTGATTTATGCAAGCGCCATGGTGTGATGTTGGCCATCGGGGAAGTTATTTTAGCACTTCATCAGCACGGCTGTGCTTTTGACAGTGGTTGGTACTCTTTACATTTTTCCCCCTAAATTCCCTTTAATTGATCAGAATATGATAGAGACTAATTATCACGTTTCTTGTAAGCATTCATCTTATTCTTTTCAAAAGATTTCATTGGTATGTCCCTACTGAATTTCACTACCGTTTTTGTTTGACCAATAGGGATTCATTGTGTTGGCAAGTAAAGCTCTAGTGTTCATGCTATATTGCATTAATCATACTAGTATTGGTGCTGAATTGCATTAATCATAGTAAACATATCATTTCAATCTGGTTCAAGAAAAATATGATCTTTCTGGGCAAACTGATTTAAATGAATTATGCCTCTGTTCTATTTCTGTTGTGCAGATATGCAGAAACGTGTTTCTGGTATAGTTCCTGCTATTGAAAAGGCACGCCTTTACAGGGGAAAAGGTGGAGAGATAATGCGTTCTGCTGTTTCACGGTTCATAGAATGTATCTCATTATCTCATTTGGCAGTACCCGAAAAGATAAAACGAAGTTTGCTTGATACACTTAATGAAAATTTGAGGCATCCTAATTCTCAGATACAGGTATTTGTTTTGTAATGTTAGATTTTCTTGCCAGTTAGTTCTTTGCTTCCCTGATGAACTTTCTCTGAAAGAGAACCAGATTCTTTCATGTACAGAATGCTGCTGTTAGAGCCCTGAAAGAATTTGTCCCATCATACTTGGACAATGTAAAGAATAGAGCTGAAGGTGGTATAACTGCAAAGTACCTTGAACAGCTAGCTGATCAAAACGTAGCAGTCAGAAGAGGATCTGCATTGGCACTGGGTGTTTTACCATACCAATACTTGGCCAACAGTTGGAAAGATGTGCTTTTAAAGCTCTGTGGCGCTTGTTTGATTGAGGTCTGCTTTCTAAAAGTTGATGTTAACTGAATTTGCACTTGGAATCTAACTAAATGACTGAATTATGTTGCTTAATGCTTTGTATGCAGGATAACCCCGAGGACAGGGACGCTGAAGCACGAGTAAATGCTGTCAAAGCTCTAGTATCAGTTTGTAAGACTCTTACTCAGTCAAGAAATGGCTCCCATACGTGCTCTGGAGATAGTGACTTGTCTTTGTATCATCTCATCAAGAATGAAGTGATGGCATGCCTATTCAAAGCTCTTGATGATTATTCTGTTGACAATAGAGGTGATGTGGGCTCCTGGGTTCGTGAAGCTGCTATCGAAGGGCTTGAAAGTTGTACATATCTCCTTTGCACTATGGATTCCACTAGAAAGTCATATGGCACTGAATCTGGGTCAGAGATATCTAATTCTGATGTGGCTGAGAATAACCAACCTTTATTTTTTGATGAAAATCTTGCCATTACTTTGATTGGGGGAATTGCTAAGCAAGCTGTAGAGAAGATGGACAGGATAAGAGAAGCTGCTGCGAAGGTTCTCCAAAGGATTCTGTAC